TCTCTCTGTATTCTGCAGCTCTGTTTTTGCTGCTTCTGTTTTCATGCAACTGACATAGATCATAGTTACCGTTAGGCTTTTGATAGGGTCAATATATTATCCTAACAGCTTTGCTGTTGGTTTTGTCTGTTCTGTATTCCAGAACAACTGTAATGCCAGATTTTTTTTATTTTTTGCTTCACTAATGTTTTTTTGAACGTTGGATATAGTTTTTAACCTATATATTCTGTCATTGTTTCTGTATTGGAAGAACCTGCGAGGAACCCGCCCACTGTGTTACGCTATGACAGGCCCTTGCAGAACCGTCTGACATTTAAACTTTATTAAATTGAAATATTAAAGTTGCCAGATTATGAATGGGTAGTAAAAGCCAAGAGAGGAGAGTTTCAATCAATAAAAGCTTATTAAATTTGGCTTCAAGATGGCTTCTTCCTCAATGTTGAAACATGCTCATCAAAGGAAAGTGAGCTTTAATTGTTTAGCCAAAATAAAACAGCCTAAGATGCTTTCAGCTCAGCTTGAAACTTCAGTAATATCCTGTTTCTAAATTTTCTCTTGTAACAGGCGTTGGTACGATTCAATTTTGTCTGCTGTAAAGAGAGGACATTTGGAATTTCTAAAATGGATGTGGATCTCTCAATTGAAAACAACAATTTCATCAGAAGCAGAACTTGCCACGAAAAGCCAACATAAGTTGTGCCGTTAAGTAGTGATTCCATACACTTTACTATGATCTAGATAAAGAGCTTTTGCACATTAGGAACCATTTGGAGGAGAAATTACTCAGTCCGGAGTCTGGACATGAAGAACCGTTCAGACAGGTGAGTGTATGTACACAGTGTGCACACTCACAGTCCGAATTGTTCTTCCTGTCCAGACTCCGCACAGAATAATTTCTCTATAGAAACAACAATTTCTCTACACCAATTTCTCTACACCGAAGGCATCTAGATGGTACTCCTTTTCTTACATTTCTAATTTGATCTCCGTTTTGAAAGCCTAATAAAACTCCATTTATGAAAGTTTCCAAAGAAGCCCTCTCAATAAAGGCCTTCTTTAATAAGCTTCAAATAACCAGTCCTCATTATTTGAAGGCATTAAATGTGAAAAATGAGTGGATCAACTAAAGTGTTAAATGCTCTTGGCTAACAAAAGAAGAAGCTGACCTTAAATTTCTCTATAAAAAAATAAGAAGCAGGAACTATGACACCTTGAAAATCAGTATAGTATATGTACATAGTGTGTACACTCACAGTCCGAATTATTCTTCTTGTCCAGACTCCGCACAGAATAATTTCTCTATAGAAACAACAAATTCTCTACACCGAAGGCATCTAGATGGTACTCCTTTTCTTACATTTCTAATTTGATCTCCGTTTTGAAAGCCTAATAAAACTCCATTTATGAAAGTTTCCAAAGAAGCCCTCTCAATAAAGGCCTTCTTTAATAAGCTTCAAATAACCAGTCCTCATTATTTGAAGGCATTAAATGTGAAAAATGAGTGGATCAACTAAAGTGTTAAATGCTCTTGGCTAACAAAAGAAGAAGCTGACCTTAAATTTCTCTATAAAAAAATAAGAAGCAGGAACTATGACACCTTGAAAATCAGTATATGATTCTACCTATTATGAGTTTATGACCTGATTTGATTTTAGGTAATCCACTGAATTTTGGCATTTATAACTCTTTTGCATATATCTGAGCATATTTTATTTGCATGCAAGAGTATGTATGTGTTATAAAGCGTGTCTGGGGGTCTATTGGCATGTTCTAGAAATATGGAATTTCGCCTTGGAGCGTCGTGGCACCAAGGTATGCTACGCTACAGTGCTGAGCTCTTTGGAAGTTTTGAAAATTAATTTAAGATTCGACGCTGGGGTAGTACTGCGGCAGTGTAGGCTTCCAAGGGGAGCGCTGTAGCACTAGCTCGAATGGGCATCGTGGCGCTATACCAAAATTTTATATTTAAATAATGAAGAGAGAGAGAGAGAGATAGAGAGAGAGAGAGAGAGAGAGAGAGAGAGAGAGAGAGATAAACAAAATCAATTTTGGCCACCTTCGACTCAATTTAGCTATCGGCATAGTTCTTAAAAATTATTCAGCTCAAGGTAAGTTGCATTTTGCCTATCCTAGCTAAAAATAAAACAAAATTTTCAAAAAAAATTTATTTATTTTATAATTCTACTAGCGTAAATTATGAATAACTTGTTTCACTATGTAATTTTATGTATTTTATAAATATTACAGTTTAAACATTTAAATAGCTTTCTAAAAAAATTTCAACATGTCAATTGGAAAATGTGGATTTTTTGACCAATTGGAAAATTATGTTTCCAAAAATACTATTGTTGTACAATTTCTGATAATTTGATTATATTTTGAAATTAATGTATTTCAGCTTAGTAGTACATTATGTTGCTTATCATTAAAATATTTTGTTGATTTTTGAATGAGTATATTTACACTTCTTTTACTGCAATGTAATGAATTATATATTTATTTAATTGAAATGTAAGATTATAAGGAGATATGATGTGGGTGAAGAAAGTTTAGATTTGATGCTTGTTGCGGACTATAATATATGCGACGATAGAGTTAAAATTCTACCTCTTAGCGTTGTATGAATATCCATCTCACACACAGAGAATACAAGATATTTTTAACGGAAAAACCCTGGAAAGAGGATAAACCATGGGGCCTGGCCCAGTCTAAAATGATTTCACTAGTGTTTAGGTAAATTACAATGGGCTGACTCGTCCCTGAGGGTGATCATATTATAAATGTTAACCGTTTGATTGAAATCTAGTGACAAACGGGAATGAAATTACAGCATCACTTGGTGGACTGACATAAGTCTAGTGCTACTTAAAAATTCGGGCGTTAGTATGTAGCATGACGTTGGTTTGGTAGAACTTCAACGTCGGGCGGTGGTACGGCGGAAGTTTGGCATCATATGGTGGTCCGGTGGAACTTCGGGCGTCAAGTGATGGTCTGACATAACTCCAGGTTTAATTCTAGTGTCAAGTGCCTATCCAATAGAACTCTAGGCCTTAGATGGTGGTCCCGTAGAACTTCGGACCTTAGGTGGTGGTCTGGTGGAACTCCGAGCCTCAAGTGATGGTTAGGCAGAAGTCTGTGCCTCAGGTGGTGGTTCGGCGAAGCTCAGGGCCTCAAATGATGTTCTGATGGAGGTGAGGGCCTCAAGTGGTGGTCTAGCGGCGGTGAGGGCCTCAAGTGGTAGTTTGGCGGATGTGATGGCCCTAGGTGGTGGTCTGGCGGAGCTCAAGGCCTCAAGTGGTGGTCTGACGAAGATGAGGGCCTCAAATGGTGGTCCGGCAGAGGTGAGTGCCTTAAGCGGTGGTTCGGTGGAGGTGAGGGCCTCAAGTGGTGGGCTGGTGGAGCAGCGACGTCAGGCGGTGGTCCGACAGAACTCAGGCGGTGGTCGAGGAGGAGCAAGGAGGTAAGAGCGATCTCCGATCTTTCTCTAAATCCTTTGGCTTGGGATCCCTTTTCAATAGAAAAGGAGTTTCTATTTATAGATTTTCCCATCAGTCATAACCTTATCTATTATCAATCATAAACATCATATGCATTTAATACATATATCTGTATCCATTATGATCTATCCATCAATGCTATATATGCACATTACAATTTCATTTATCAATACTATTAATGCATATATACTTCGATAAATGATTCAAAAAGGCAAAATATTCAACTTTAATGTAGTGCTTTCATTCATTCATATGTATTCATCATTATCATTTTATCATATCAGATGATTTTCAATAAATCATTAAAGTTATCACTCTCTTGTTTATTACTTTATTGGATATAACCATTAATATATAAACATTTCATTGGAAGTTATATTTGTATAACTAAATATTAAATATAAGAAGATAAATGAAAAGAATATACAAATATATGATTTGATAAATTCATTGCAAAATGCTATCTTCTATAAATTGTTATCACCTTTATCTCATTTAGTTTGCATGTTTAAATTCTTTTAAAGTAAATATTTACTGATTACTTAGAATGACTCATATGCATGTTATTTTCTATTTATTTTTAAATTGTTATATTATAGAATTAGTCACTGAGTTGTTTGCTTAAAAATTCAACTGATTAAATGTAATATTTCAAGTAAGGCTCTTGATTGAATGACTTATAGAGAAGATTTTATGTACAAAAATTTCCGCCGCTGATTCAATTCAACTTCGTTGCATTTGACCACATCATCCTTTGGTCTGGATCCGTTGAAAATTTCCAACACATAAAAGACAACGGAAAAAAATTTTCCAACGTGCGATTTACCGACATAATATCTATTTCCATCGGAAATCATAAATCACCTAAATCCGATCGGAAATCATCTTATTTATGACAAAAAATTCCGTCAGAAATGTGAAATTTTCCTGTAGTGGTCCTTAAAATTTATTTTTTATGAGATGGATAATTCTACAAAAGATTCAATTCAGAAGGATTTCCATCGTTTCGTTTGTATTGAGGGACCTTTCTCTTCTATTATATAAAATATATGTCAAGATGGAAGGAAGGATTCAGCGTCATGTTTCCCCGCCATGCGTACTTGGAACTATTCATGGAACCTTACAGCTGCTATAGTTTATTACTTTATAGAATTAGTCGAATACTATATGGACAAAAACCAGCCTTCCCTTGTTTGCGATCATTTCTTTATTTTTCTCTCTGTAAACTTGCAGCTAATCCATCAAAGTTCATGTCACAGTCTAGGAATGTTGAATGCCCTTTCTGTGTAATGAAAAGTTTATTAGTTGAATTAGTTACAATCCGCTTTTTTATTTTAATTTATATCATTCTTTCTCTCTTTTTTTAACAGTAAAAATCAAAAAAGAGAAACGTACAAAAAAAGAGGTTGAAATAAGTACAGTAAAGATGGAATAGTGAGCGGCAATCACCTAGTAATTCCTCTTCGTTGAAATTCATATAATAGCAACAAAGAGCGGTTACATCTACTTGAAGCATTCCAAGTTTCCAGCTTCTGCTAACAGATTCAGCCAAAATCTTATGTCATCTTCGTTTGATGGTATGGCTGTTGAATCCTCCTCTTCTTCGTCCCCAGCCCAGTTTTGGCTTGCTGTCTGTACTCCTGACATCAAAATTTCATCAATTTCGGGAAGCTCTGTCAGGAAATCCATGGAGTCTTCCTTCCACCAACCATTAAAATTTTCTGTAGTTATTACAAAGGAAGAGGCATCGCTTTGAGAACAAGCTGGTGAAACTTGCTCTTCCAGGTCATTCTTCTTGACCTCCTTGTTAACGGCATTGTTTCTGCTCCTTCGCTTGGACTCCTTGATGGCTTGATTAGGATTTAAACGTTTCTTTAAGTAAGTGTGCCACACATTCTTGATCTCATTATCAGTTCTTCCCGGCAACTTAGCAGCTATTGCAGACCATCTAAAGAAAAGAAAAGAAAAAAGTATTTAATGGTAAACTAATTGATTGTAAACTAAATTGTCCTATTTTAACAATTTAAAGGCATGAAAATTTATTTTTTTGGAACGGGGTATACATCTGCTGCCACCCCCGAAAGAGCGCTTGACGGCGTGACTAATCCTCGGCTGACCTAACCCACCATAGAAACTTCCTGAGCCGCACTTGATTGGACTCCATTTAAGAGGAGTTGCCGCTTGAGGGGAATCGAGCACGAGTTGGAGGGTTACCAACCGTACTTGTCCACCAACCAAGCTAAGCAACGGTAACGCATGCAAATTTGATTGGTTGATGAAGGAGATAGAATTGGTTGATGAGTTGATGGTGACAAGAAATGTTGATTTTTTTCTTATATGATATTAAGCCAGGGACAAATTCAAAAAGGAATAGATGCCAAAGTTTATGAACATGATGGCCTTGACTTTTTTTGGGATGTAAATTAGACTTTTTAATTTTTTATACACAGAAAATGTCCAAATTAATTTTTAAATGCTTAAAAATTTATTGGTTAATAATATTATATACGAATAGAAATAAATCTCAGATAATTTTCTAATGGTCAGACGAGCATTTTTTTTTTCACAAGGACTGCAGCTGAAAGAAGAGCTTTTTGGATGTAATTTCTCCCTATACAGTCAGACTCCTTGTCCTATTTCTATTTTTTGCAAAGATTTTGAGATTTTTTTTTGTGTGAGGACACATGATGGAGAGAATCGTTCGATTTTTTTTCTGTCAACAGTAAAAGTGCAGTCAAAATGTAGCTGCTATAATAACTACGCTTTTACTGTAGACAAAGAAAAATTAGACGGTTCTCTCCATCTGATGTCCGAATAGAATAACCTCTCAGATTTTGAACTTTGTAATAAAATAAAGAGGAGAGAGACATATTTTCTATATAGAAGCTGCCAAGTCTCTAATCTTGAGACCTATGTCATAGAAATTATCTCACTATATCATGAACAACATACACTTGTCATTAATAAAGGTATAGAAAAAAATGAGTCAAAATGAGTAAAAAATCTAATGACCACTTTGAGTCCAACCTCATAAATTACTTATGAGCTGAACTCGATGACTTGAGCAAAACTCAACTCTACTTATTAGTCTAAGTTATGCTTGTTCTTGAGTGCGAACTGGTTTAATTAATCAAGTTTAAGCTCAACTGGATTGATTTACATCCCTAGCTCAAGATACCATGAACGGAATACATTTTCTCTGAGCTATCAGACAATTCTTTCTATTTTGCATGGTAATATTTTTTAATATTGTACACATGCAGTAACTGCCTTGGTTATTATCCCAGAAATATGGAAGGGATTCTTATACTTTGATAGAATGCCTTGCAGTTGAAGAAGTTTCCTGTAACAGCATCAAAATTTTTGCTCAGGAAATACCTTCTGTTGTTGTTGCTATGGCTTTGTTTGTTGAAAATTTTTAGCAAAATTTAATGGTTTATGTTCAATTTTCTATTTACCAAAGAAATCCTATTACTAGTTGACACATTCCACTGGATAGCCTACTATCAATGTTATATCACGTCAATAAAAGAAGATTTTTCTTTTGGAACGGGTATCCACCCGCTGCTATCCCTAAATTAAAAGGGCGCTTGACAGCGTGATTAATCATCGATTGACCTAGAGAAGGCACCCACTCCAGAAACCTCCTGGCCCGCACTTGATTGGGCCCCACTTAAGAGGCGCTTACGCTCGAGGGGAATCGAGCACGGGTTGGTGGTTCCCAATCGTACTCGCCCACCAACCAAGCTAAGCATGGGTGGGTAAAGAAAGAAGAACCTTTAACTGTAGACCTGAAAAAAACTGAAAAAACTAGAAATACAGCAGAACAGTTTTTCAAATCTATTTTTCTTTACGTTTTTCTGTTAGAAATAAGAAAGGTTTTTTTTGTTAGAAATCAGTACGTGATGATAATTAGACTATTTAAATTTTAAGCCTACCTGTTTCCAAGCAATGCATGCAAATAAATAATTGTTTCTTCTTCCTCTTTACTGAAGTCGCCTCTTTTAACATCTGGTCTCAAATAATTTGTCCATCTAAGCCTGCAACTCTTTCCACATCTCGACAAACCTGCAGAAAAATTTTAAGTTGTTTTCATCAAATAATGCACAGAATTCCACCATACACTGATCATGCATAACTTGTTCACAAATCAATGAAAATATATGGCGAGTTTTCTGCTTAACATTTATATATGCTGACCATACAAAAATATTTAAGAAGAATTGACAGCCATTATTACCTGCTTGCTTAGGAAGAGCTCTCCAATTGTCATGGCCATATCTTTGTATATAAGATACCAGAATTCTGTCTTCTTCAGGCGTCCATGGCCCCTTCTTCAAGCCCATCTCATCACAACAAGCAGCCTTCACCATCTCTATTTCTCTGTGCAGTTCTCTTTCTATACACTGGTCATGGAAAATGGAAGAGGAGACGTTGCAGGCGCAGGGCTTTTTATAGTGGCAAAGCGTCAGCAGGGGCGGATCCACCTTAACCCCCCTGAAAAAATAATTTTTTTTTATTATATGATTCTTTAGGTAATTTGCTAACCTTTGTGTTTTTTTTAGTCTTTATTACGAGGATTTTTAGGCAATTGACCACCCTAAAAGTTTTAAAATACTATGATCTTTAGGCAATTGCCCCAACATAATTAAACGCATTGTGTAGAAATGTTATTGTTAAGGAACGATAAACCAAATACAAAGAGAAATAGTAAAGAGAATCTAAAAATATCGTTAAAATCAAAGTTTGTTCGAGGGGCGATGCCCCTTGACCCTGCGACCTGACCGGACAGGTCGAACCCCGCCAGGGGCGCTGCCTCCTTGGACCCCCGACATATCTGCGAAACGCAAAACAATCAAAGATATGAACAAATTTTAATTGTAAAGATATTTACGAAAAAAAAAATCTACATTTTTGCCTCCCTGAAAATTAAGGCTGGTTTTGGCCAGAGCGTTACACTGTTTAATATGGGTAAGCCAACTGTTTTATGAAAAAAGGCAATATGTCAAATATCAATTTAAAATATTGATGGACATGAAATTATTTTAAATAATATAGAGTTAGTTTTCAATTTGAATTTTCTTTTTAACGTGCAAAGGAATGAATAAATTTAAATTATTTTTCTTCTGTAGTTAAAATTTTAAATTATTTTTTTGTCGTTTATTTTGGAGTAATGCATAAAATTAATAGAAAAAATGTGTGTATTTTAACGCACTATATATTTTTAATCATTTTATTAATTACAAATTGATTCAGAGTTAGATATTTGGATGAGCTAAACATCATTAGGCATTTAATTAGTGCTTGTTAATTTTTGTTTGTGTTAACAATTGTTGTTAGATGCGGTTTTGTGACTCACGTGGATGAATATAGTTTAATGATAAAAAAATTTGAAATAATTTTGTTAAAAATTAATCAGTATGTTTTGATTTTATTCATTTTAAGCTGTGTAATATGTTATGGTGTAAGATTTTATAATGTAAATTTAGGGTTAGATTAACAAAAATATGCACAGAAGAATAAAATTTATTTTGTCCATATCTTTTAGCTTTGAGATAGATATGTCCCAAAAAATCGTCTTAATCGGGCACGAATCTTGATGTATATATGAAATTGGCAACTTTCAAAATTAAACTCGGGGCCATCCAAATTCTAATTTCAGCAAACTTATAGTCAAATTAAACATCTCGAGGAGACGAACCCAACAAGACCAAAATTGATTCAATCCAATTATCCAAGCACACAGGTTCAAAGCTAGAAATTTTTTGAATGAGGGCACAAATTAGTACAAGTTAATAAATTATTCTTAGAATATCATTCTTCTTCACAGATTATAAAATAAATTTTTAATAAAAATAATAAAAAATACATCCAAAATTAAATTTATTCATGATAAAAAGGAATATATATATATCACTCACTAGCTTGTTGTTCATTATGAAATTAATATTTTTTTCCAAAAAACTCATAATGAACTAAGTTCAAATAAATTATTTTTATACTTAAGATTATTTTTTAATTAATTAAATTAAGTCTTAATTTTGAACTATATTTAGATTAATTAAATTGAAATTAGTATAAGATAACACTTTACCTAATTCTAAATTAATTATTTATTAATTTTACATTAAATTTTTATTAAATTAATTTGACATAATGGTTCATATTTACTCAAAGAAAATCATAAATAATATTAAATTATAAAATTAATATAATTAAATTAATTAATTTACTTACTAGGACTTCTTAAATTTTTTTATTAATTCTCCTCCTCTCTCCATGAAAAAAAAAACAAAGAGCTGGTGGGCGATAGTCTTGGGCAGCCAAAATGGGAAATTTCCGCCCTGCAAGCACAAATAGGTCCAAATCAAAGAATCAAAACATATGTAGAAAGTTCAAAGCATTAATTGGATGACCAGATAATATCTAAATATGTCATGTTTATGATCTCTATTATCTGTCTTTGTGCTGGATCTTCGTACAAAGCTTGAACGTTAAACTCTAATCTCTCTTCCGCCGCGAATGTTCGAGGACGTAACAAGCTTAATCCATTTGTTCCAAACAATAATTTAAAGATCATTAAAATATAAATTTTCTTAAGAAATAAAAAATAAATTTATATTTCTACAATGATCATGATTCTTGTCTTGATAAAGAAAATCCACATTATAATCTATTTAATCAAATTTCAGTATCACAAGTAGAATCAATCACAAATCACATAGATTTAAAAAATCAAATGAGAGAAACAATCAAAGAAGATATTCAATGAGGTGATGCCATTCAACCCTAAGAACATATGAGCAACATGTCAAGTACTTATGGATAGCATCTTTTATATTTAGAATGGGAAGAATCTTAAGGTCTATATGGAGGAAATTATCGTAGTAAATAAGAGCGATGAGCTTCACCTTGCCGAGAACCTCAGATTTCTCTGAAGATATGGTATTAGGTCGAACCCACAAAAATTTATTTTTGGTGCTTACTTAGGAGAAAATGCTTCACAATGGTTTGGGACGACTCTTTTCACTGAAGGAAAATCAGTTGTTACCGGAGGACAAAATCAGCCGGCTACGACGATAATCCGGCGGAAATTATACGTTTCCGGTAGAACATTGTTCGACGTAAAATCCATGTAGGCGATAGAGGCGTGTGAGAGCGAAATAGAATGAAATGAGAAGAGCGTCGTCGCTCTTTCCAGTGTTATTTCAACCGGATATTCCGCCGGATAGGTTTCGTAGGGTTTAAGTAAGCTGGCGGAAATTCGGCTGGAAGTTCCACCATGTATTTTCCGATGTAAATTTTGCCGTAATTAAATGCCAGCTTTACACACTCCGGCGGTTTTTCCGCCGATAAATTTCTGGTGTTTTGTCTATCGGAAAAGCTGTCGCTTGTTTTGCGACAGTATATCCGACGGGTAGACCGCCGCTTATAACTGCGGATCAGACAAATATCCGGCGAAAATTCCGATGGTAAACGGAGTTCTTAAAGCAATAAAAAAACTATCCCAAATGAAGCAATTTATTTTTTGCTTCATCCATGAACCATGCCTCAAACCAGAGTATATTAAGACGAAATGGAGAGCACGCTAAACAGTCACACATCATTAGTGAGATCAACTGGTTGATGTTCTAATATCTTAATGATATATCATTTTCAATTTAACTTATTCTTCACACATTTTGATGGTAAGGTTTACATGTAAGGGCAAGGGGAATGTGTTGCGGATATTTGTTTTGAATTATTGATGATAATTTCGGTATTTATTTCTCCTAAATTTTTAATTTTTTTATATTAAATAATTAGCAAGTGTAAATTTTATCAAGCAATTATGATATGAATCATTTTATATACAAAATAACTATATATTAAGATATATCACCGCTCAATATTTTTTTTAACCAAAACAAAATACATTAATTGAGAAGGATATATCACAAGACCATAAAAAGGTCACATATAGAGAATTACAATCAAAGAAAATTAAAAAGCAACATACCAACAATAATCTGAGCGTAAGAATAATCAACCCAAAATCAATAAGATTCAGACCGACACTTAGTTGCCAGGGAGGGGCCAACCAAGGAGGAAAAAGGGAAAAGCCAAGATTCCAAGCCGACAAAAAACCAAACCACTAAAACGAGCCACCAAGGTGGCCAACCAAGTCCTGGCCATCCGAGGTGCATGCAGCAAAACTGCTTCATCATAGTCCTGTTCCATTTCCCTCGTAAAGCAACCAAAACCAAAATAAATCCAAACACCATAGCCACAAAACTTCCAAAGAGTAAAGTAATTTCTTCTTGGATTTTCATTTTCGATGCTTATCATTATTATTGAACAAGCCAAAAAAGACTTAAATCAAAGTTGTCTTGAGCATCCAAATTGCTCTCAATAATTTCCTCCCCTCCTTCGGACGGCATGTCATCATGTAACCAATAACATTGCCTCACAACATCATCTTTAGCAAGATGGGCTAACATAGCAGCAGCATTCAAGATAACATATATAGGCACATCCACCAGAGGCACCACCCATCTCAACCAAGATTTCACCACCCCATCAACTAAAGAGACATGATTATCACCTGACATCTCCGCAACATCTGCACAAGTAGGTCTAGCTATAAAATTAATACAACAATTATTATCATTCATGGACCGATGAACACGAATCACAGTAGGATTGACATCACCATCAAAGGCACCACAAACCACCTTTCTAACATCAACATTAGCGACCAGAGTGCCAATAGAACAAGCCACAACAGCAGAAAAAGGAGTTGTTGGGGAGACGATGGGGCTAGAAGGATTGGAAACCAAATCTATGCCAATCAAACTAGAAACAAACACTCCAGAACCCCCAACAAGACATTAAATAGGATTAGAATTTAAGCATTCTCTATCAGCACCAACAACTTCAACACCATTAGAAGCAAAAGATAGGGAAGCAGGAGAAACAACCACATCACCCACATTGGTATCACATTGATTCAGAAGCAGCAAATCAACAAGAGACGGGCCAGTTGCATTAGGTACATGATGAGTAGGAACACTATCAACCAAAACCCCACCACCCAAAGGAAGGTCATTTTCCTCATTAACCCTTAAAACATGTTTAGGATTAGAAGGAGCAACAATTAGGTCATTATCAAATGAAGGGAGACAAGCACCAATTGAATGCCCTAGAAATTTACATTTGGCATAGAAAGGAGGAAAATCCTCCATAATAACTTGTTGAAAATAACATAATTTCTCAAGACAACCAAATTTTATCCAAGTATTTCTGGGTAATATTGATTTCCATCAGAACTCGGGCCACAAACAAGCGATACCCCAAAGAAGTCGCATAATATACTTTCAGAGGTCTAAAAAAA